ACGAGAAACTTTTTGGAAGCGACCTTAATTTACTTCTAATGATTGTTCAGTAGCAATAACGCCTCCTTTTGCCAGAGGTCAAATTGCACCCTGGCAATTGTTACTTAACTTTGAATGGGCTATTATTTAAGAATTACCAGTCAAGGATATTTTCAAGTTAATGAAGCATACAAGATGCAAGATGATACCGGAGATGAGTGGTTTGGCCTATGAGCAGAGACGAGACAAACTGGAACAAAGGAGATTGAGGTCTTTAAAACTAATAAAAGGGGGGGGGGGGGTGATAGAATCAATAAGGATAAATTATTTCCACCCGTCGCTGAGGCAGTAGCTGGAGAACATCAAGCTAAGATAATTAGTAAACGAGCAAAAGGGGAGCTTAGAAGAATTTTTTTAACGCAAATTTACTTCCACACTGTAAACTTATCTGGTTCTATGAGGGACGAGGGAACAGAGGGGTATGGGGGAGTGGATTACAAGAGTCAGGTGGAGTGTAAAGACTAGTTGGGCAGAATGGTCTGTTTCTATGTAATTCTATGAAGACAGAATGGGATTGATGTTTGTTTGCACCGTGCAGGAGTGTGAACCCCCAAATTCCACCTCGCCTTAGCCAGCAAAAACATTTAATCTTAAAACGTGGAGAATCGCTGAAAAATATTGAAAATCAGGCTCAATTTTGGGAAAACCGGTTTGCACGGGTCTGAAAAAGGACCAGTTTCCAAATTAAGAATTTTCCGCAATTCTGCACAATATTTTACTTTGGGATGGATACGACTGGACGCGATGTCAAGTGTGTGGGTCAGGACGATTTAACACCTTTTTCACTCTTCGAAAAAAGCAACTGTTTTTGGAAACTGGCAGCAGGCTACTGTCTTTGTGGTAATGATTTTAAGGAATGACACAAATCTGACAAGCAGGATGTAATAATGTACTAATAGTCGCTTAATACTGCAAGGGCCAACAAATCACTTTGGTATGATCCTTTTACACTCTTGTAATGGTTACTTTATTTTCTCCCATCAAATGCCAGAACTGTTCTGGGTTAAATTGTCTTTCAGGACATTGACCTTTACTTGGTAATTGAGATTAAGCAATTAGAGGCAATAAAAGTGACAGGAAGTCTCTGATAGGGGCTGGATGGTGAGTGATCTTACAGTAATGGACAGAGCTGGGGAAAAGGAAGCGCGGACAATTACTATGCAGGGTTATACCTCATTGCAATGGCAGCTCAGAAATCCTCAGGAACCGCCGCTATCAGTGTTTGCTTATCAGAAGTCACCTCAAGGCAGGTTTCACAGTCAACCAGCCTCAGGCCAACATCCTCACCAACCAGCTTGAATCTAGTTCTGCCTCCACCATTAATGCCTTGTGTCCTTGTCGCAAGTGTGAAACTCCTGTGTTAATTATGATTATTTTTTCCCCCCTTTGCAACTTTTCTGCAGTTACGATACATTCTTATTATGGCATATAATACAGTATTATTATTATATCATTATTACTATTATTTTCTAATTTTATAATACAATATTTCATTATTGTATAATATAATACTGCTTGTGCCTCCTGCCCTCCGCTCCACCATTGGCAGCCGCAGGCTTTCAACCTCTACTCCCCGAAACTCTGGAACACTCTCCCTCAATCCCTTCACCTTGCGTTCTCCTCTCACATCTTCCAGTCGTGCCTGAAAGACCTTCCTCTTCGACCGTGCTTGGGGTCACTTACCCCTTCCCTCCAGCACGGAGTCAGGCTCCGCCACTATCAAGCGCTCTGGGACGCTACCCTGCACGAGGGGCGCTATGTAAATGCAAGCTTTTGTTAGCCTGACACATTGTTGTAAGGCTGTTGTGTAGACAGCGTTGACGGTACAGTGTGCCTATTACAGGGGGGTGAGCCCTGCTATTCCATACCTCAAGACAAACCATACAAACTAGTTATTTTCCTGTAGGTGTGAGACGGAACATTAACAAGCACTCCAAACCTGAACCAATGAGGTCTGAAGGGATGCAGAACATCTTAGAGACCTATAGACATAGTTTGAGGTTGCCAGGAGTCCAGATATGCAGTCACTGATCACTTGTTACAGTCTCCCTCTGTTATGTGGTTACAACTGGTAAGTTTCCCATTTCACTTCGGGTTTTAAACGATGCAAACAAGAATGACACCCACACTTCAGGTGGAAGAGGATGGAGTGGGATTTCCTGTTTCCCTGAGAAACTGTGATGTAAATTACTGTCAGTACTGATAAAGAGTTTCGGTTCAACTGAGAGAGAAAGATAGATAGAGAGAGAGAGAGAGAGAGAGAATAAACCCAATAGCATTCTATTAAATAGATAGAATCTGGTTCAAAAAACGACATTTTTCTTTAAAAAAAAGGTTTACTTAATCCCAGAGTATAAAAATGGGTTCCTGTACAATGTCATTTGGTGTACAAATGTGGACCAATGCTACATACTGTCAGCTATGACAGACAGACAAGACACCCTGAGCATTGTGTGAACACTACAGAGAATGCAGCTAAACCATATGGGCTATCAGCATCCTCTGGCTCCTGGTTTTGTTCATCCTCCGACCACAACTCAAGGGGCTGGTAATGGTTAGTCAGGGGCACAAGGGGTTGGGGTGGGGGTTTCGGGGAGGTGGAAATCAGGTTGTAAGCACCGCACGGTAGTTGTGAACCAGAAGTGTTATGGATCTCTGTGATGCTGATGAGGAATGCGCAACAGAGCAATTGGAAGCTGTCACTTGGACCATCTCCCTCTCTCTCTGCCTCTCTCCCCGACACAAAGCGAACGCTCGCTGCTTCTGTCCACCTCCCCGGCTCAGCCTGAAGCTTCTCAGTTGTCAACCCGGACTATCTCAGTGTCAATCAGGTCTATCTCGGCGCCTCTCCACCTCCCGGAGTGACTCCGAATCCGTTCTGTTTCAGTCCATTTCCCCGTCAACAATCCACCTCCACCCATCCATCTAACTATCTCCCCAATAACCATCTCCACACTCACCTCACCACACCCACCTCTGCTTCTCCTCGACTCCATGTCTGGCTCCCCTCCACCCAGGCAGATCAGAACCTTCTCAAGCTCTGCCCACCTCCCAAACACAAACACAAGGCAGACAACACTCCCACCCACAGACAAGGCTACACTGCCTGGATACGAACGATAGTTTAAAGAGATTGGGGCACCATCTCTCTCTCCTCCCTTTCTTATTCGGATTAAAACAACACGTTAATCCTTGGGTTGAATCAACGAATCCCACCATCAGCTCTCGCTGCTTCTTAAGCTGTTCCTAGGCTGGACGGGTACAGAAAGCGCGGGCTAGTGTGTGTGTTACAAAATAGAATAGGTTTGATTGAAATATAGTGTTGAAGGTGTCGCTGGGTACCTTCCCAGGAGGAGAATTAAGCTCAACAACGACAACAAATGACATTTACGCAGCGCCTTTCACGTTGGGAGGCGCTGGGAATTGGGGATTTGAACCCGAGCTGAGGGTTGGGATGAGCAGAGGTGGAGAGTAGGGAAGCTAGGGATAGGAAGGCAAATCTCTCTCTCTCTCTCTATATATATATACATATATATACACACACATTATATCTGTGTAAATATAGCTAGGCAGAGCTCAAGACCCAGCGTCAGGCTGGGCTGTTGGATTCTGTGTCCCTGGTCAATGAATGTACCGCTTTATCTATCTGTCCGGAACATTTAGATCAAAAAAACACAGCCAAGTAAAAATGAGCGGTTCTGGTTGAAGACCCTCGAACACGGTGACTTCACAGCACCACCGGCTCCGGGGTCCAGTACAGTACAGTCCATCCATCTGTAGCTCGTCCGCAAAACACACAGACAATTTCACTTTACAGTCTATCCAGTGAAGCGCTTGGAGACATCTCAACGACGTGATAAGGCGCTGTATCAGATGCAAGGATTATTATTATTATTATTATTAGCGCTGGGTAAGATTAGATTGTTTATTTTGGATCTGTTTATTTGTTTTTGCTCTCACCCCATCCCTTAACCCGTGCACTAACTGGGAACCTTGTGCGTGTTTAGACGCCTCTGTTGATTTCACACTGACACACAGAGAACTAACTCATCTGGCAACGTTATTCACTGGCACACACCACACTGACTGACTGCCTGTCCGTGGAGATCTTACACCAAGATCCTAAGAATAATCCTTCCATTTAAATGTATACTTACTGCCAACTGGTGCCCTGTGTGACCGAATCTTTGGCCAAATTGTAGGAATGGAGGTA